GTCGACGTCCCGCCACCGCCTTCCCTCCCAACCTCTTCCGCCCTCAGCTCTTGGTTCGATCGCCACCTTGGTGCCCTTTCAGCCCTACTCCTGGCCCCAGCCCCACTAAAACCTCCCTCACTTCGGTCCAAACCTTGGTGGTCCCCCCTGTTGACCTCGCTGCGCCGTGCTTTTAATGCAGCTGCCACGAGGTCCCACTCCTCCCCCTCACCCACACTGAATGCCGAGGCCCGCAAGGCCCGCTCCCTCTACTTTAAGACCATCAAGAAGGCGAAGGCAGAGCACTGGAAGAATTTCCTGTCCAAGGTTGACTCCCGCTCTGTCTGGACGGCCAGAAGGCTTGCCACTGGAAGAGCCCCTGACCGCTTCCCCTCCTTCCCAGGTCTCTCCTCCCCCGAACAGATCAACTCAGCTCTTCTGAGTCACTTCTTCCCCTACAAGACCCCCACCTCCACCCCATCTATTCTCAGGCCTTTCCGCGACTCACCCCTCCTCACTCCCGAGGAAGTGCAAAGGGCCCTGTCCAAGTCCTCAAACTCTTCTGCCCCAGGGCCGGACCAGATCCCCTATGGGGTCTGGAAGAAGGTCCATGCGGCTAACCCCTCCCTCCTCGTTAATCTTCTCTCGCCTTTGCTATCTTTCGGCTTCCACCCTCCCTCCCTCAAAAAGGCCAATGGAGTTGTCCTCTCTAAGCCAGGAAAACTAGACTATTCCTCCCCCGCCTCCTTTCGCATTATTGTCCTCCTCCAGACTGTTTCGAAAATCCTGGAGAGGATAGTTGCCTCTCGCCTGTCCCTGGTTGCCCACTCGCGGGGCCTAATCAACCCAAACCAATACGGCTCACTCCCCGGCCTTAGCACCTACGATGCCTGCGCCGCCCTCACCCACGAGATCCGCTGCCTCCAGAGGCCCGGGCTCAAAGCCTCATCACTCTTCCTTGATATCAAAGGGGGTTTCGACAACATCAATTCAACATTACTCACTACTTTCATGAAGTCCAGGGGGGTGCCTCCATACATCTGTGCCTGGGTTCAATCTTTCCTTTCTGACAGACATTGTCATCTTCTCTTTCAAGGGTCTCCTAATGTGTTCTCTCCAGTACAGGTGGGCGCGCCACAGGGGTCTCCTATTTCTCCTCTTCTCTTTGTCATCTATGTGTCTCCTCTTCATTTGGATATTCCCAAGGGAATTATGTTTTCCTATGTTGATGATTTTACTGTTACGGTGGCGTCCTCCTCTTACAAGCGCAACGTGCAGCGCTTACAACACTACTTCTCGGCATTGAAGAGAAGGGCGGGTGCTATAGGCATGTCCTTCTCGGTGCCCAAGACTGAACTTTCCCACTAGAGGACCTCCAGGGACCACGGAGCGCGTTGCTTCACCCCTGTCACCCTGGACGGCACTCTCTTCCACCCTGCTGGGCTGGTTCGCTAGCTTGGCTACTAGTTTACCCCTAGCCTGGAAACCTCTCCCCACTTCGCAAAACGCCCGGCGCCCACCCAGGGGGCTTTCACTATCGCAAGACAACTCTCTCCTCCTGGTAAAGGCCTGCCTCCTTATCTCAATTGGAGGCTCGCCATCGGACTCATCCTTCCCATTCTCTCCTATGGGGCCGACCTCCTGGTACCCAACTCCTCTGCACTCCATAAGATGGAGGTTTTTTGGAACCGAGTCCTCCGATGGGTGACTAACTGCTTCCACTCTACCCCAACCTCGATCCTCCCCTGCGAGGCCAGCATCCCCCCTCTGGTAGTCCTCCTTCCCCACAAGCGCCAGATGGCGGGCTTGAGGATGGCCTGCTCTCCACCTGAGATTAACCCGGCCTCGGCCAGGCTCCCCTGTCCTTTCCCTCTGCGTCAGCTACAAGGGCCCCAGATTCCAACAGGGCCCTGTCTGTTGGGCTGAAAGGCAACGCATATCCCCTCCTCTGGAAGACCCCCAGGCCCTCTCCCGCCGTACCATACCACCTCCCTATTGATGGCATAGCTCACTCCCTTGCCCGCGTCGCTGCCAAGGGGTCCCTTCCAGGCCTGAACAGGTACCTGGTCCCCGGGACGAACAACAATCTCTCCTCCTCGCAGAAGTACTCCCTCTTGAAGGCCACCACTCGCTCCCTTCTCTTCCGGGACTGGGCACTACAGGCCCCCCCCCCGCTATACTACCTCTACCCCCTACCAGAAGCCCCGCACCCTTTTATGGGGCTGGACCGCTTTCTGGCTGGACGAATACACCAAATGAGAGCTGGAAAGATCTATCTAGCGGCCCATACCCCCTGGAACGAGCCAGACAAACCCACCACTTGCTCTGCCTGCGGCCTTGAGCCGGAGACTATGCAACATGCTGTCCTCTCCTGTCTCTCTAAGGCCCCCTCGAGGCTGCTCCATATCCCGGAAGTAGCCTCCTTAGGCCATGAGGCTCCCCTGTGGGCGGATAAAAACCTCCTATGGGGTCTCGCACGATACATTTCCGATACCAGAACCAACTTTCCCCCCACGATGAGCGGGGGCCGGGTGTCGCCCGGCACCAACCCTGCTTTAGATTGAAGTGATACTTTCTTTTGATGTCTTTCCTGACTTTATTTGACTTTCCTTGCTTTATGTTTCCTTCGTGCGGAAGGAGACTTGTCTTTCCTGTTGCGATTAGCCGCCCTGGTGGGCACAGTGGGTTGTATTACTCACAGGCGGGGATTGCTGGTGGAGAGATATTTCATTGCCGTTTGTTGTTTTTGACATTAAGATTTTGTTTTTGCCATAGCTAGCGCTCCATGCAGGTTCTTGTACCTTAACAAAGAATATATGAGTTAAACAAAAAACAAAAATCCCTAGCTTTAAAGTCTATCATCAGCGACCGGAGAAGAGATCTTATCAATATATTCATTCTACTTTACTTCTATCTTTACAAGCCATCCTCCATCTCCGCTACACCTCCGGTGATTGAAAACTCAATACCATGGTTACTATCGTGGCTTTCATCGTCTAGCACCACCACCCCTCCCCCCATCTTCCTCCATCTAGCCTCGGCTACAGGAGATGGGCTCACTTCCCCTCTCCCTTGGGGTCCTGATTTATTTCTTGATTCCCTCGGTTCTATCCTTGATTGAGGCCTCTCATCTTCGTGATGTTTCCCCTCTTCCTACCCCGCCTCGCTTAGGCGTTGGCACGGTCGGCAACCCCCTTTTCCACCTTCAACAGACGGCCGCGACTACAATTGCAGTAGGAGAGAACAGCTTACAGGCTACAGTCCATCTCTCCATTCTCTTACTCCGTTAAGAGGCTGCCTAGTCAGACACGAACGCGGTTACCGATAGTTGTCGCTCACAGAATTGGGTCTACCCCTCCTCTACTCTTTAGGGCCTCTTTGGCTGGCAGGTGGTGGGATCCCTTCCACTACAGTGACGCTATCTCTCCCAGAACAAGGGACTACATGAGAGACGCGGTAAAACACCTGCTTCGCTTAGGGCTCCTCTCCACAGTCGGATCGGTTGGTATCCTACTACCACCTCCTCTCAAGTTGGCACCTTACTGCCTCAATCGTCGGTTGTCCCGGAGGACACACGGTCGCTGGCACGCCTGCCACACACCTCCTCTCCTCGCTTCTCGGTCGCCGCCTTCGAGGTGGTTTCCCTTATACCCTATGCGCCCGTGGCTTCGCCTCCCTCCTCCTGGCCCTCGTCATATGGCCTAGGGGTTCCTATGATGGATTTGAGTGGTGGCCATTGGCCCTTAGGGGTTTGGTTTGGGTTTCTGCCTTTAGGTGTTTCGCTCTTGGGGTTAGGCGTGTTCTTGGTTCACTGTCGGGTAGTTAGCTTTCTTTTGTCGCTCGGCGGTGGGGGGTTATTGGTTCATGGTCTACAGGAAGGATTTCGGGCGGGAGTAGTTTTTTCTACCACAGAGGGTTTTTTTAGCTCTGTTGTTCGGCCTGGTCCGGGGGGGGCGGTTTTTTAGGCGTCATAGCTAGCGCTCCATATGCCTTTTTGTCCCATAAACAAATAATAAAATAAGTCAAACAGAAAAAAAACAAAATCTATCTTTACAAGCCTTCTTGACTATCTCCGAGACAGAAGAATACCGGGCCTAGTGTATACTCGCTTGACCTTAGAGTTACCTACCCCCTAACACCCCTGTACAAAATCTAAATGTCTTATTAGGTAAGTCTAGAAGTTCAGATATGAGTGCCAGGCATAAGATAATCTGGTAGAGAACAAAATGCATCACAATATCCACAGTTAAGCCATATCATCTAGATGCAGATACCCTGGATTCTGGTGTACCAGGAGGGGAGAGATATAGATCATGAGCTCCTGACAAGATCATGACATGATCAGAGCAGAAGGGATCTCCTGACGTAATAAAGGGCAGTCTAGCTCTGTCAGGATGCTAGGCAGAAGAATTAATATGACTCAAGACGCCACTGGGACCCAAAGAGGAGCGTTCGGATGCAGGGGCAAGATGGCGACAGTTTTCAGGATGCATGCTACACAGAAGTCAGCATCCAAATAACGTCCAGATATGATGGAGTGCAGAAGCAGGGGTCAGGACCCCAGGGGCAGCATTGGTGTGTCCTGATTAATGATTTGCATCCTGTACATCCTATGCATCAGACGCACAGGATGCACAGGACGTAAGTTGAAATCTTTCCTGATGGATGCCAGGCAGGAGTAGTAGTAGTATCATAATGCTAGGAGGAAAAGGGTATAGATTGTCAGGACCCTCAGAACCAAGCTAGCAAGGGGTTACAATGTAGGAGGGTTGGAGTGCCACATGTCTGATAAGTATCTGGATGCAGGAGGGGGCTGATGCGAATGTCAGGACACAATAACAGATTCAGCCAATGTCCTGATTAATGGTTTGCATCTTGTGCACCCTATACATCAGACACACAGGACACTCAAGATACAAGAGTAAATTTTTACTAATGTACCTAACCTATTATACTCCTATCAATTAGAAAACTCCAATGAGTTATCTACCCACATCCTCTCTTTCTCATTCTCTACCTCACTACTTGATATCCATGAATACATCTACCATCTCCTTCAACTTAATATCCATCTTCCTCAATTGGTCAGCCACTCTTGCCTGCCAAGACAAGGTATTCTTCCTAACTCTCTGCACCTCCTGCTGTATCCTAGCCCAACCACTCTCTTTTCTCACTGGCCTAAAACTGGTAAACTGCTGAACCAAGTACTACCTCTCTTTCACCCACATCCCAGTCCAAAACAACAGCTCCACCATTCCGAGACCCCTTACCATAGCTACCACCATAGAGGATATCTTACCTGTCTTTTTCCTCTACTCCATCTCTTCCTTATTCACCGACTAACACGATCCCTCACAAATCACATTTCTCATCCATTCTACTCATTCAATACCAATTGAATATCCTTCTTTCAGGACACCCCACCTATCTTAATCACCACTACTAGTCCATTACCCCTCAATCCTTCAGGATCAAGCCAGTCACCTACCTTCTTCTCTTACCATCCTCCATAGTCATTTCCCTCAACATCCTCCTCTTGTCAGATACAAGCCTTACAAGCCTCAACTCCACAGGTGTTAAGATCCTACGTGAGGTAAATGGTTCTACCTCTTTAACCTAGGTCCTTACCTGCTCTCTCTTTGCAGCCAGGCGCTTTTCCAACTCCATAACTTACCTCTCCAACTCTTCCACTTGTAATTTGTACTGTTGCTTCTTACAAACCAAGTCATCAATTTGTTACCTGCTAGATATCTTGACAATTTGATATAAACAATAATAAATTCAGGCACTGTTGTAATTGGTTAAAATCTCAGATCATGGTTTATACAACAAGTAATAAAATCAATGACTGTGGTTGTAACGGTAACAGAGCATGCTGTTCACAAGATATTTCCGACACACTTTGTACACCCAGCCAATGCCCAACAGGGAAGACAGTGTACTCGTCCTGTCGTGACGTTTTTGAAATGGACCAGGCTTACATGGTAGCACACAGGGGTACATTTCAGGCAAGAGTGAATCTGAATAGGTCTAGTAGAATAATTAGTATAAATTAGAGCATCATATTATTAAGAAGAAAAAAAAAATAATAGGAGAAGTCATTAGGTATGTATTGTATCCAAATCTTTACATGTGAATACCTACAACATAAGAGATTTTCACCAAAATGTCAACACCAAGAGGCAGAACAACTTCAATGGGAAAGAGGGGACAGATTGTTGGGTATGCAATGCTGGAAGGAGCTTAAAAGATGAGCTTAAAGAAGATTTCAGCCAAGATGGAAGTGCTCGTGAGTACCTGCTCTAATATTATCCGAACAGTACATGAGCATTCAAGCCAAAACCAAAGTCTCAACTAGTATGCCTATGAGAACCTTGCGCCTTTACCTAACTCAGTAAAAGGAGCAAACAAGTGCCTTACACTGGCACAGAAGGAGCATTTGGTAGAAGTAACTTTGCAGGATGCAGAGTACTGTCGAATGACCTTCACACAGTTAGTGGAAGCAGGTAGTGTTTTTTTTGTTTACCTTTTTAAAAAAATATATATTTGAAAATATAACTAATTTAAAAATAAAAGCGGAGCTTAATATAAGCAGACAAACCATTTTAAAAGTACTGTGTGAAAATAAGATTTATCGACGGAAGCCAGTTCGCAAACCAACTCTCACTCCTAAATAAAAGACTACAAGACTTGCCTTTTATCACCAACATCAAAATTTCGATTGAAGGAATATTATCTTTACCACTGAATCCTACATTGAAACAGGAAACCTCCAGTCCCGTCAGGCTCGTAGAGTATTACGTCATGTTGGAGAAGCATATCAACCATAAAATATTGATTGAAAGTTGGCCCAAGGGGCAACTATGATGTTTTGAACGCAATCCTCTATGGAAAAACTGGTACAGTCACTAGACAAAAGTCTTGGTGATCGCTACTGGTGAGACAAAGTCTGTGCACTGAACAAGCACTGCTCCGGCATGGCATGAGTTGAATAGCTATCGTAGCTCAATGATATTGTAGGAGATTAAATCCTAAAGTTACTAGTAAAAGGGCAAATAATTAATCAAGAATACACTCTTGTAAATTTGTAAATCCTACATGTACTTTATATACCTCTACTTAGCCTCTATCACACCATCCTTCATAAACTGCATAAACATTTACAGATTTCTAATGAAGCTGACAGATATCTATCAAACCTCAGTTAGGACAACAAGCTTAAGATTCAAGATCCACAAACCTATGCCTGTGTGAGAAAACACTAAATGGTCAACTGTAGATAAGAAAAGATAGATACAGAATAGCTGTCTACTAGGAACATCAACCAAGGTACCGCTGGTGGAAGTGACTTAGGGGACAAGTAAAAGACCTACAACCATGGCTCTCCCAGAACTTGTCCTCTCTTGGAGCTGTAGTGCTGGCTTTTTTAGGAGGAACTATTATGATGGAC